CGAACAGGGCGTCACGGCGAGATCAAAAACGAGCGGACAAAATGAATCCCCTTCTACACAGGAATATTATATTACCGACAGAAAAAAGACCGACTGGATTAATACATCAAGTCACCTTCTCAGTAAGGCACAGCATGTAGGAGCTGGAGCTACTGGAGAGTCCAGCGGAGGGCTACGAGGATGATGAGGGGACTGGAGCATCTCTACTACGGGGAGAGGCTGAGGGAGCTGGGCTTGTTCAGCCTGAAGAAGAGAAGGCTGCGAGGGGACCTAATAAATGCTTATAAATATCTGAAGGGTGGGTGTCAGGAGGATGAGGCCAGACTCTTTTCAGTGGTGCCCAGCGACAGGACAAGGGGCAATGGGCACAAACTGAAGCAGAGGAAGTTCCGTCTGAACATGAGGAAGAACTTCTTCCCTCTGAGGGTGACGGAGCACTGGAACAGGCTTCCCAGGGAGGTTGTGGAGTCTCCTTCTCTGGAGATATTCAAGACCCACCTGGACAAGGTCCTGTGCAGCCTGCTGTAGGTGACCCTGCTTCGGCAGGGGGGTTGGACTAGATGACCCACAGAGGTCCCTTCCAACCCTGGACATTCTGTGATTCTGTACCAGTGCTTGCTTTGTGCTCCAGGGAAAACTGGTCTTTCAGATATCATCATGATACAAACTAATTTAAAATAATTAAACTAAACCACAGGCATTAAAAGCTACGTCCACAATTTTAAAAAATTGTGTGTACAAGCAGAGTATTATCTAAAAAAATCAGGACAACCATCAATCTTGTAACAGCCTGCAGATTCCTCTGAACTGGGATTTGCATAAACACAAAATTTCTTTAGTTTAAGACAGAGCAGGTATTAAAATGAATTAAAAGTACAGCAGTTTTATGTAGAAAATCTTAATTTGTGGAAATCTGTGGAAAGAGAATTGCCCACAGTCTGGAAGCACGTTTTTCCCCTCTTCAGAGACAAACACAACATAGCTGTTACCATAACAAACACATATTTTCCAAGGCTAGGAAAGCAGCCTTTAGATGCAAACTCATTGCATATTTGAAAATTCATCTAACCCAGAACAATTTTCACACGGGAACTGTCAAGTGTAATGTGACTAAATGTACATGCACAGACAGCAGCCAGAAATTGGAACATGAGAGGATTAAAGCGGGAGGGAGGTAAGGTTGTAACATTTTTAAATTTGTTTATACCTCTTTGAAAAATGCATCTGATCAGGGGATGTATTCTCTTACACAGTGCTGAGAACCTTTCTTAAGGTGCAGAGTGTTTGTCCCTGATTCCTACTGAAGTCAGTCCCGCTGATGAAAACTGCAGCCCTGCATCTGAGAGCTCCCTGCAGCATTTCGGGTTCTTGCTCCATGGTAAAAAGCACAGGGGAAAAGGCACAGAAAGCCACGACAATTTGCTGCCAAAGGGATGTCTACACAGACAATGCAGGGCCACATAAAAGCACCCAGAGCAGTTGTACTGACGCAACACCCCTGCTTTAGAGTAGCACGCCCCATGAGGGTATCTACTTGGCAGGATTAATTAACCCTAAGGGCACACCAGAATTTAATAAACTGAACAAGAGGTATCTCTGCATGGAACTACAGTATGCTGGATGTGCATTCCCTGGTTACTAAATTGAAAGCAGCAGCAAAGCATGGATTTTACCATATCTATAAAAGAAGTCAGGCATACATACTAAGTGGCTTGTTAAAAGCATACAGGAGGCTGAAACAAGGCTAGGAGTAATAGAATTCATGCTGACATGACTTGGCAATGACATTTGTTTTTAATGAAATAAAAGGAACAAAAAGTACAGTCAAATCAAACTCTATAAAAGCAGACCCCATGGAGATCATCAGAATTACTGTATAAACTGTAAGTACTTGTGAACAATTCCACCTAAGAAAAAACAGACTTGCTACCAGGAATATTTTCTGTGATTGTACTTAGAATCATCTGAGATTTTGACACAGTATTTTGTGGGGCTGAGAAAGAAAAGATTTTAAGGAATTTATTGTTGGAATCAAGCCTCCAGAACGCTTTAATTGGTAACATCTATCTTCAAGAATATATCCCTGTGGCCTTGAGGATATAATTCTGTAATCAGGAATTGCTGCATGTCTTAGTGACATTATTCAGCTCTTCCTACATGCTCAGTGTGACACAGAGAATACTGGGATCAATTGCTGTCATGTGGATCAGATGGACTTCTGCTCTAGTTTAGGAAATTATAACATTACTTTGTTTTAATTTCAGGGCTTATCCCATAGCACTGTGACAAGACCTTTGTTGCGAATGTTTCCTTACCTAACGCGTTGGTACTGCAAAAAGGGCCAAGCATTCAAACAAACTGAAGAACTGAACTTTCTGAGAACTGCAGACATACATACCAGTGAATCGAACTGATCACGTGGGCAAGCAAACAGCCGTCCATTAACACTGAGAGTTGTAAACACTGAAACGTCGTGAGGTTTGAGCACAACCTTTTCTATAAACATGAAACAAAAGATTGTTTATTACATGTATGTAGAATTTACAGCAGGACTGATCCAACAGCTGCACAGATCACCCTTGTGGGAACAAATTTTACACAGCAAACCAATGTCCAGGATACAAAATAGATGACAACAACATCCTCTTTATTGAAGAAATATGACAGCAAGCTCAGCCCAAACCAGTCTCCTACAAAACAATCATACAGAACTGGAATCCCAGCCCCAAATTCTCCAGGCAGGTCGAGAAGCCTGTGCTGCCATCCTTAGAAACTACCTGCAAAAAATCAGCCATAATTAGGGACTCCATTCATTCTTCTCTGAGCTGCAAGCATTTGGAAAGCTGTTCTTAACAGAACTTGCCTTGGAAGAGAGTAACTGCACATGGAGGTGATGAAATGCAACTGTATTCAAATCTCATTACAGCAGTTCTAAAAAAACATCACACCACAGGTAAAGAAAAGATAATTAAGTAACCTACAAAACAGTCTCTTCCAGCATGCGCTGGCTGTCAGCAAATCTGACAATAAAAAATTGCTGCAACTGCAAAAAGTAGAGCTGCCTGGTGTCAGTTCTCAGGAAGTGAGCTGTTTTTGGCAGGCATCACTGTTTGCAAAAATGCCTTCCAACACAGCCCTCATTAGCTCTGTGTGTGTCCACACAGTCATACCCAACCAGAGCACGTCAGCAACACCAGTTCTCCAGCAGATACCATCTTCCAGTTACTTTCCCATTTCCACAGCCTATAGTGGGGGGCTGTCCCCTGACCCCTTGCCAGCAATAGGTCAGTGGGCTTGGCACCAAGTTGCTCAGTAGTGCTTTGCATGGACAGAATAGCCAGAATGGTAGTGACCACTACTGGAATGTCTGCACTGCAGTTTTCTGCTGTTGCTGATTTATATGTCTAGCCTGACATTATCTATGCTTACCTCCTAATTCCGTTGCTAAAAAACTCCTACAAGTCTTACAGTGAAGGAAACTCGGGGTAGCTCTGCTCTGCAACATGCAGATACACAAGCTTCTCCATTTTTCCTGTCTCCTGTGTGAGCTCCAGTCTGTGCCTGCATTAGGGAAAGGACCTGCATCTAGGACAGAACCTGTGCACCAGCTGAACATGCACATGGATATAAAAGTCTTGACTGAATTAGTCTTTCAATCCCCCCCAACATTCTGCTTCACTGGAAGTGAGAAGCGTTTCAGATGATGCAAATACAGTACCTCCTCCTGAACTCATCTTTACGATGATGAGGCCTTCTCCAGAACCCAGCTTATCTGCTACTGCGCTGATCAGTTCCTTCACAGAGGAAGACACTGGCACTCGGATAGTGGTATAGGTTTGGTCTATGCAGTACACCTTAAACAGAACTAAAGAAAAAAAGATTGCGCTGTGTATGGCATAAGTAACAACCACAGAGACTCTACTGCACAAATTACTTCGCTTCAGTAACCACTCCTCACAAATGAAACAAATAAAGCAACAATAAATCACTACGGTTTTGATAGCTCCCCATCCCTCAGATGTTCTACAATTTCTAGTACAGAACTCTCTGTTTTCCCACAGCTTTTCGTAAACCACTGAAGTGCTAGTGTTTCAGTATTGCTACATTATTTATGGATGCCAATTTAATCTGGCACTTTGTTATGTTCCAGACATTATAATATTTTAAATGAACACTTCTTTTCAGGAGTCAGGAAAACTGGCAACAAACTCTCTTAATTACAGGAAAATACTTTTCATATTTACAAAATAGATTTGAAAATAGTTTTGGTTACAATCAGAACTTAAATAAAACTGTGTTGCAACCTGTTTTTTACAAGCAAGTATATAATTGCTGAATCAAGAATGTTGTAGATGATGAAGAAAAATACCCTAAGAATACACTTGAGCGTACAGTACAAACTGGCTCACAGAGTAATACATGAACCCAGCCCCCTGGCTGCCTAGAAATCAATACAATAGTACATCAGCCTGCAAAAAGCAAGGCAGCCCAAAGTGACATGAATTTAAGACAGACGAAGTTGGCAAAATACTCCCTTCAGCTCAGCTGTGAAGCCAAGCCAAGCTGCCCCTGGGGTATAGCTGTCCATGGGTTTTCAGTGTTGAGCGTGCTGCCTGCCCTACGAATGTGAAAGGTTCAGCCTTACGAAAGGGACAGTTACTGCCTGTCCACACAGACACAAGCAGTAGTACTTCTCTGGCAGCAGCAACTATTTCCCTCTTTGTAGACCCAGAACAAACACTGATAGGGACAACAGAAGCTGCAGGCCTGGCAGGACATCTGCTGTTCATACACAGTTACTTCCAGCTTTTGAAATGGCTCTTCCATTGGTTTGATTTATGCCACCAGCTTTCTCAGCTATATGACCTTGCATTTTGTTCCCTTATTTTTACTGTTGTTCACTAGCAAGAGCTATACTTTAACATCAGACACCTTGAAGCAGAAGCTATTTTCTGTGATGAAGATGCACCAAAACAACCACTGAGAGATTGGCCCTAGCAGTTGCAAAGAAATCCTCAGAGTTTTAAGGGGCATGGATCTTTGTTTACAATGAACAGATCTCATCAGCAGAGCTTAGAATTTTGTTCACGTAGCAGTGCTTCAGCCTGCCTGGTGTAAAGGACAATATGAAAAGCCAGTACAACTGAAAAAGTTGTTCTGATACACTGCTATAAATTTTACCTTAATCTCTTCAGAGAATTAAACAGTAGCAATAGGGCAAACCAGCAGATTTTGTTTCCTACGCTGTGTGCCACAGGGTGGAGATCCACAGCATGATTATCTGCTCCACTCCTGTCTTGCAAAGGAACAGCTATACACATTAGCTCAAACTATGCAGGGGAGACAGAGGCTCAAACATGACCTTCAGCATCCACTGTTTATTGCATTGCCATTACCTGCATGGACACTGTCTGTACTGGTTCTCACCTGTTTTGTTCATTCCCTATTTTAAAGGTTTTTACGTCTTTCTCTGAGGAAGCAGAGTGTTTGATAGCATAAGTATCTAAGGGAAAAGACCAGGAGCACTTCAAATCAACAATGGACAATGTTGGGCTAGCAAAAGCAAACAGAGTTTGCTTCAGGTCAGGCTTCAAAACTGTTGGTAGGTACTTTTGTTTATTTTTAGACCATTTTTTTGGAGAGAGACAAATTCACTGCAAATTTCAGTGGCTCAAGAAAACTTTGCAGAGGAGGAGCTCACCTTCATCACTGCCCCTGATGGGCTGGCGTTTCTGTGCTCTGTCATCACTTGTGTTGAACAGCTGCAGAAGAACTTTGTGCTGAAAATGAATCATCAGGATTCACATTAATGCAAAAAGAAACATTATGGCGCAGCCATGCACTACAATAGATCTCTTATCAACGGCAGAAAAGAGTAGCAATGCAAAATTTGACACTTAATGTTAAAAGCTATTTCTCAATGTGTTGTTTTAATATATCCATGATTACTAAAGAGAAGATGCTTATGGATTTGCTGTGCTAAAGCTTTCGCTTTAGAAAATGGACACATAAATTATCTTACCTTCTTTTGCAGTGCTTTAGGTTCTTCAGAACTATAAAAAGGTAAAGCATAGAACATGTAATTGAATATTACCTGGAATATTTTGTGTACAAAATCACCCATAGAACATGGCCACTTGTCAAACTACAACATCAACATATTCATGTTTGCATATATGAGAAGAAGACTGGATGATACCATAGTTAACCTACGGCCAAGGTAGGGAAAATACTATACAAAGTCCATGTAAGCTTGAATAAGCATCCAGTTTAGTTTCAATGTTGTATACATAATTTCTTATTCCTTCTGTCAACCTTTTCATGAGAGTTTGGTGTTTGCAAGAAGGATGTGGAAAGAAAGGGCCACAGACATTCATCCAAACAAGCTTGCATGCAAACATTCACTCTTATATGACCAAGTGCCATTCATAGCATGGATCTTTAATAGAGATAAGCAATAAATTTTCTTCATCTATTTACTAAGAAAAAGGGTGGGGGGAAGAAAGAAGCAAAAACTGTGCTTACACTTGCTTTACAATTTTCTCTAGCTCTGGAAGTTGCTCCTTTAGGGCTGCAATCATTCTAGTATCATCTGATACAGATACATAAAATTCCTGTAAATGATACAGAATAGTCTTTAAATAACTATAGGGGTAAATGAGCAGTACTCAGGAGAGAGGATTATGAGATGACATCTGATAGCTTAATGATTATAAAGAATGATAATCTGCATAGAGGAACACACGCTGGGCCCAACCCTCTATTACTTCTACTTGTTTATCTCCAGCTGATTTAAAGCAAGAGTTACACATGCAGAAAGGAAGCCTGATGAGGCTCCTTAGCTCACTGTGTAACCGACTGCTTGTGCAAAAACTGCATTTTCAGGTTATCAAGGATAAAGACCACAAAATTCACAAATAATCTGGCATGGTAGGGTTTTTTTGACCCACTGCTACTGTAGTCCTTAGTGATTCATTTGCTACTGAGTTGTTGACTTTCAGCTACTCCAGTCCACTACGATATTACCCTCCTTTAAATGCCTCAAACCTCTTCCTGCCACACTGACATAAAACTGACTCAAAGAAGGATCTATGTGCTTGCAACTCGTATTTGTTCTTTAACTTCTGGACTACTGAAAGACACTACGTCTGTTTCCAGAGCTCATCTATTATGAAAAGCTTTCCCATTTGGGCTTGCTGTATGTCTGTCATACTTAAGGCTCCTCTTTATTCCCCTCTGCTAAGTATTACCTTAGATTCCATTCTAAGCTCTTTGGGGCAAGAACTTCCATTCAGCTAGTAATACATGGGACTGTGATCCATAAACACAATATATAATGACAACGGCAATCATGACGACTTAACGTGACATTGGCAGCGCATCTTACCTTAGCAATAGAAGGATATGGCACCTACCACAAAGACCTTACAACCAATGTCTGAGGAATTAAATGATTTTAAGGGATCAGAAGGGTTCTGAAGACAAAGATCTTAAGTTCCAATAGCTGCAGTACACCTTTCATTCAAATGGAAAGGATTTTTGGTTTTGTAGAGTGAGAACTCTCCAGCTCCTTCCCGGCACATCTCAGGCAGGCATAAACAGCCCTGCAGTTCAACCTGTGGAGCCTCTGAACTATTCGCAAGAAAATAGTAAAAAAAGCAAATTCGTCTATTGCTATAACACAATCTACCCATGCAGTGCTTTGAAAGGGGTCTGCAACTCTGGCAGATATTTTCAGAGGTCCAGAGGTTGACAACATTTCAAGCACTGTTGTAGTACATATACTGTCTGCAGCTAAAGCCAAGAAACATGAGTCATGAGTTTGCACTTTGAAATGACCTACTTCTCTTTAGTTCATAACAGAATTCTACAGACCAGGAACAGGCTTTCAGCTTATCTTGCTTGGTAGGTACTTTTCAATAAAACGATACAACAACTCCTTTATACCTCCAGAAAGGCCATTGCTGCTTCATCTTCTTGTAGTAAATCTCCATATAAAGCAGCCCACTGCAGAACCAGTCGAATGACTCGCCTTTTATTGTTGAGGGCATAATCCATTTTCTCCTGCTCTGTACCCTGGGAAGGCTGGGCATGATAGGTGCCACAGTGTCAAGGAAAACGCTCAGTGATTGAAAACATCAAAACCAGCACGAATTCACAAACAACTGACTTCCAACAAACCATTTTCAGGGTGTTCAAACGTAACTTTCCAATAAATACTTTTGATTTCTGACTGCTGCTATCATAAGGACTTGCAAACCTTTCAAATTCATACTAAAAAGTAGAAAGACAGTGAATTCTCTAAAGGGCACAGGGATGATCACAATCCCACCACAGAGACGGTTGCTGTAGGGGAGCAGAACAGAAATGACACTTGGAACAACAGAGAAAGGAATTAACCGTGGAGACTGAGGAAGGATATTTCTCCTTGTTGTTCTTTGGAGACAGCTGAAGAAAAAGAATAACATCGCTTTGTGTTTATTAACAGTTCCAGTCTTCCATTTGTGAGGAAGACTACTGGAATGAACCATCAGTGTTATTCCTTTTCTTTTTAGAAGTTACTGTAACCCAATGAACCTCAGTCCCATTATGGCAGGGGGACATGGAAGTTTACAGCCTAGACTGATTACAGAGAAATGGGATAAAATAATAAATTCTGGAGTAGCCTCATTTTACATATGAGGAAATCAGAAGTTTCCACTCTATCAAATAAACCGTATTTGGGACACAATACTTTGTGAGAGATACTTTCTGATAAACAATATGAAAAAATGGGAAGCATTTAATTAATTTTTTTCATGATGAAGTGTCAACATTTCAAAAATATGCAAATAGCAAAAAGGCCATAAGTAACATTCATTGAAAGAAAGAAACCAAGAAAAAGTGAAGGCACGATAGCCAATAAACTGAGAAAATTGCAGCCTTTTACCTATGCGAAAACGAAGAAGAATCCCCAGCAGAAACAGGATATGACAATTTGTGTGCCTACTTCTCACTGATCACTGATCAGAGGTTAACTATATATATTCAAACTGTTTCCCAATAAACTGGTAGCTGAATGTGAAGTAAGCACAGGATGAGGGCAGTTACATCTTCAACTTTTCTTCCCAGATACCAAAATTCTGACTCCGGATTGTCATGAATAATTCTATTCCCAACTACATAGCAACGATTAATGTTAAAATACTGACATTCTTTCACTGACAGCAAAGTCCAGCACCCTGTCAAGTTGCACTTTCAGCTGCTCTAACAAAATATCTTAAAATATTAATTAGAATTAAAAATTATCTAAGAAAGATATTTATTTTAAGCTTCTCATTTAGAAGCATTTCTCTAAGAAATGCTAACATATTTTATACTAATAAAAAATAATGGCAAAAATTATCTATTAACTCTCACTTTCCAAATGATCCCTCCTGCCCAAAACCCCTACAGAGATTTGATGTGGTACGAGGGTTACTGGGGCACTCATTTGACTGACAAACTTTTACAAATCTGCATTTTAATTTCATTTGGAAAGGTTTAAAATTACTAGAGAACTAAACATGTCAGTACATTTATGGGAGTCAAGTAAGTCAAAGGGTCGTAAGAAGTAAATAACATATTGCAAGCTATGTGCTCTAATGTCTCAGAGAGCAAGTTTAATATTCTACTGAGTAATTTTTCTCATGCCTTTTTTTACCTTTCAAACACTGTAATTATTTCATGTATTTTTACTTTCTTATTAACTGACTCACCACAGGCACTGGTAATTTTTCTGTATTTTTACTGCTCATTTATATTAATTGCTCTTTTATTAACACTATCACAGGGAAAGTCAATGAAGGGTTCTCCCATCTTTACGGGACCTACAGGATGCAGCTTCACTGCAGACTGCAATCAGAAGTGAAATATTGTGTATACTCGCAACAAGTGTCAGATAATTGTAAAATATTTATCAACACCAACCTGGTTAGAGTTCAATATATATATTTCTAATTACGTCTAGCATATGCTAGGAAACGGAAGCAATTCTGAAGTCTGTTCTTCGCCTGCGTGGGAACACTTAACCACATCAGGAGCTGTGCAAAATCAGCACCCATTACTACAGCAGAACGCAGACTGGCATAATGGTAAAGGAGGTTCACAAAACATTCATATAGAAACATGCTAAAGGACTATCACCTACAGAGAGCAAAAGAGGAGCTTATACTTTGTAAGTATTTTGACAGTGGTCTGTTAAAGATGCACACCTGCACACATGCTCATATATTTGCACTATTTCAAGTGCACTTTTGGAAATCCTACTCAAAGTTTTCTTTTGGGCTTTGTCCTGCCTCCCTCTGACAAGCTGTAGCTCTGAGAATTTGTCCATTTCCCTCTCTGTGAAGAAGAGAGGGAAACAGGGGCTTTGGTCCAACACACAGGACTGACGCCCTGATCCAGGACAGGGGAGCATGCCCTTTGCTTCCCCATAAAAAAGAAGCATGTGATTTTTTTAATACTGCAGGATCCATATACTTTAGTGACTAAAAAAGAGTGGTGTGCCAAGGGACAGCACAGTATGAGCACTGAATCTGCAGCAAGCAATAAGGTTACTTAGCCAAAATGGTGCACCCGTCCATTCCTTTCAGGATTACAGATGACAAAGCACTACTATGAAAGAACCCAAGTAATTTTTACCCAGTACTATGCTTGAAAGCATGACAGTGGTCTAGCTCTACTCATGTTTGCATGCTGCCAGCTCAAATAGTCTCCTAAGTGGGTGCAGGAAAATAGACTTGTGTTGATTCAAAATTAGGAGCTGGAGTAAAAACAGTGTCTCTGACTGAATCACCTTTCTTCTTTTTTTTTTCTGTTTTAATTTCCTCACTGAGCATAACTAATCTCTCCTTAGTCTCACAGCACCGCCAAACATTTTTGTGGAGTCATTTTGCTCAAAAAAGATGAGCTTTGTTAGCAACCTTTCAACTCTAACAATAAATTTCAATGGTACAATCAACAGAGCACAGTTTGATTCTCCATATTCAGAATGGACCAAATAAACAATAATTCAGCTCTAGGAAAAGCTGACACTAAAGCAGTGGGATACCAGCCACTTCCAGCTCTCCTCCTCCTCTCTGAAAAGAATTAGCACGATGCCTGCCATGACCCACTGAAGACCATGGTCTTAGCCTCCTCTCCAGAATAGCTTTCGTCACAAGCGAATACATACACATAAGTGACACTATCACTTTGATCTTCAGAAAGCCTTTCCCCTATAAACAATGAGGTCCATTTTCCTTATGCATCTGATTTTCCCAGTTATTGGATATCAGAGGTATACAACTATAACTGAGGAGAAAGAAGCCTGATTCTCAAATCGACTGACTGAATAATATGAGCTAGATAAATCAGGAAAAAAAATCATAAAAAGTGCTGTCCTTTTCTTCTCCTCTCAAAGCTGTCAGCAACGGCATTTCGTAATACTCTTGATATCCAAAACTACGTGGTTTTGGAAAATGTGTTTGTTTCAGGTGTACAAACAATTTTCTGCAGACCAGTTTTATGGGTCCAAAGGTTTTCAAAACAATTACTGTCCTTGCTAGGAGTAACACAAATGGATTCTCCAGCTTGCCAGACAAGGACACGATGCTCTATTTGGTGGTTTCAGGGTGTTAGCTTTCCCAGATGTCACTCGCCCCACTGAGCTTCAAGTGAAGCACACTTTCACACCAATCTGATTCTAAAAAAATAAACAGGGAATTGAAGTTATTATACCCCTGTCAGAATTCTATAAAACAGAAAACATTGTATGTTTATTTAATGCTCCCAGTCACTTGATAGCTTCAAGTCACTGTGCACAAGGAAAACAGTGCCCAACAGCTCCCCAAACTAAATGACCTGCCAGTAACTGACTGATGGACATTTCACAGCCTCCTTCTGTAAAACATGCAGACAGTACAAGAATCACCTCCAGCTCTTGATGCTATCCACTGCAAGCTTTCATCTCCTAGGTATCTGCATGCAATTGAAGTTTCTGGCAGTTTTTAAACACTTCCTATAGACTATTACTATAGATTATTACTTTTATTTTTATTCATGACTATTATGACAGCACCTGCGAACTACTTACTCATTATTCTACTAGTTTAGGCACCCTTTTGCTTGAGGCAGTTTGCAGCTTGTAATCTATAAAGAGGACCACTGAAATCACCAAAACGTAATGATCTTAATTAAATTAATTCTAGATGTTGTAGTTCAGCAAAAAACAAGACAGACAGAAAGGATACAGGAAGGGTAATCCAAACTTTTATGTAATTTCACTTATCTGGTGGAAGGACAGCACATTTCTTTCCCTTGGAATAGTGATCAGCACAGGACAGATACAGTTTTCACGCTCTGGGACTGTTATCTTGTCATGGGTATACGCAATCCATTTCAGAGTTGTTGAGCTATGGACAGCTGTTAGTCAGACACTGAGAACCTACCCACAAGGCATGGCCTCCATGAAACGTGATTTCTTTCTCGAGAGAGAGAAGCTTCAGTCTCACCACTGATAGCGACAGCTGTTAAACGGATGTAACTTTTCCCTTACAAAAGGATATTGTGCCATCAAGGCTGGGCAGAGCTGACTATTTGGCATAAAAACACAGTGCATCATAATAAAATCATTTAAAACAGAATCTGTGAAAAGAGAAGAAAAAACCCAGTCAATTAAGACCCTGCAAACAGCTTGGGGATCACAAGGATGAGTTTTCTTTCAGCTAAAACACCTTATTAGCCCTCTGCAGATAATAAAGGGGTCTTTGCACTTTGTTTGTAGGCATTAAATATGAAAATGGAGAACAAAAAATATGATCTGAAATATTAAGCTTTTATTATTGTGTGCATGAACTTTCGTGCATTTATGTGCATATTATGTTTCATGCATTTGCCTGTGTCAAAGGGAAATCTGGCATAGCAAAAAAAATCCTGTCTGTGCTGAAGTGAAATACTTGGATATAACTCTCTACAAGTGTAGAGATCTTAGCATAAGCAGAATCAGGCCTGTCACACCTGGGTACCTAAGAAGTGCTGCTGCATTTGGCTTTAGGGAACTACAATATCAGACAGCGCATGTAGTATATCCTGCACAGCAGAAGGTGAATAATGCAATTCTAGCAACGAGCAGAAGGCCTAAAAGAGGTAAATGGACAGTCATATTTCTGGTTTTATTTTGATTCAAAAGTATCACAGCTGCTACATTTACATTAAAACATACATGAACAATATGATTGACATTTTCCCTGGCAAAAATTAGCAGGTGTAAATCCCAGTTCATGTTTGTGACAAGCAGGATTTACAAAGCCTGGCTGCAGAGGCCAGCATAAGTTTGGCAGGGAGAATAAACTTTATTTTACTTTTAAATACTTTATGTAAGTCTTATATGGAATCACTAAGCAAAAATAAACACAGTACCCTGGCATATCATTTACACAGTGCAACTTTTGAGATAACAGAAACATTTAAAACCCCTCTAAGTAAGGGATGCCAGAAAAAATAAGGCAAGATAACTGTGTAATGTAGTATTACATCATTGCTTCCACTGAAATTCATATATGAAAATATCAGTTGACAAAATTCATCTCCATAAGGGTGGGACTTTTTCTTTGCGTAATATCCACCGCAAAGTGGATGTTCTTAAATTAAAGGAATGCATAAACTAAAAATTCAATTTTCCAGCACTCTGAGCTTCTGTACCCTAAAAATAGCTTTGTTTGTGAATTGTGACATTTTGCACCCCATAAGGATATAGGTATAATCTTGTCACTGGATGTTTTGGGGAAAAGTTTTTAAATGTTTAAAAAATAATTTGTTTTAGAAAACTGTATAATACGTGCACACTATGAATAGTAAACTTGTGATTATATACTTGCATGCTTAAAGAACAACACTCTGCTTGTAATCCTAATAAAGAGGTATCTATGAAAAGGATAATTTTTATTCTTAAAAGTGGTTAAAACATACACTATAAAAGGATTTCTCTAATCTTTCTATTCTTCCACTATTTATGGACCAGTATACAGGTTTCTCCAATACTACGAGGTCAGTAACAGATTAACTGGATTTGAGAACACCTTTAAATACATACTTCTTAGACATCTGCAATGTAAAAAGAACTTGCTAAAGCATATTTTGTAGCTTAATATAAAAGTCTCTGCATTACTTTATCATAACTAGGAGGAAATTTTTGTGCCTGACTCTTATGAAAAATTAAAGTACTTACTAATAGCAACTCAGCAAATATATATATCCCTAGACGTAAATTCTCTGTTCTCTTTACACTAATGAAAAACAGCCTATTAAGTGCAGCTGTAGCAACCTGCGTTCTTGGGACTTGCCCATGGTGTGCTGAGTTCTCTTTCGAGTAACAACTCTTCTTTCCCTGCACAAGGGAAAGTATCACAAACAAGTAATTTAAACTGCGATGCTTTAAAAGTGACATGGATATGAAAATTTGGGAATACTTACAGTGGCATATCAAGTTAGTTCACAATATTATGTGACATCCAGAACAAGAAGCATTAGTACCATTAGCATCAGGTGGTAATGCGTGCTCAATCCTAGCCTTACAGTTGTGCCTAATTAAAGTCATGACTAGTAGTCTGGTACCTTTTGAGATTTTGCTGTTCTACTCTGAAACAAAAGTACAAATACAATAGGGCAGGCTAGGAGGAGTGGATTGCTATCTTTAATTCTGGATTTCCTATGTTTTCTCAGGGTTGTTTCAAAGCAGTAGATAGTTCTTATTCTGGGAAAAAGCACCACTAGCTGCTTTTCAAAGCATCACATCGCTGTGTTCCCCCAGTAAGACCATCTTATGCAGTAATAATAACACAGGCTTTGTCATATAGGTACCTGTTGCTTCATTTAAAGTTGCTTCAGGGCGCATAGTTTCTAGAAAGTGCTCTAAAATTTTCTCTGGTGTTCCTGACATCACAATATACCTGAGGGAGGGAAAGGAGCAGTTAGTATTTCATAGGCAAAACAGCTAATCAAGAAACAGTTGTGCACCAGTGAGAAGACCAGCACTGACAAGTGCCAGAGTACAAACACCTGCTCTGACCAGAATCTCTGTGTGGCTTAGGACAAAAACACTCACAATCTTTGTTGGCTTCCCCCCTGTAAAATGGGAGCAATAACTCTCTCCACCCTACCCAGGGAGTGTGAGATGACAGACGGCCCCCTCCCCGCACAAGTACTCCAGTATAACACCACCACAGTGACTCCGCAATCAGCAGAGCTGCACTGGTGCAAACCTGGGGAGATGCAATCAGAAATGCTTCTCCACTGAGAATAAATATCTCAGTAATGATAGCAATTCACAGTCATTAGAGGGTCTTAACAGACTTACTATGAGCACGAAACAAGAACTGGTGTGTATCGGTGTCAGAGCAAGGAAACAGTTTCCTTCAGCATCGCTGACAGGGGTTGGGCTGAGAAGATGGGGGCAGATAATGAAACAGCACACTGTATCTTCTAATTTGTGCAATGCCTTAGATAGCTGCAGTAAGTTTTTCAGGAGGATAAACTTAGGATTGTACCAGTTCTGGGAGTAAATTTAGGGAGGTGAGAGAACTAGTGCAATAGTCAGGGTTTTCTGCTTCCTGCAAAAACACTGGCAAGATTTTAAGTACCAGCAGAATATCATAGGATATTGCTACACTTGTCCTGTCATCCTTTTTTTTTTTCTTTCCTTGCAGATCAGATTTTTTAATCTTTCCCTCCATTCTTTCAATCTTTGCATCTTTTTTTTCTTTTTTTTGGAATCCAACTGATGAAGTATGAAACTTAAAAAAAAAAAGAAAGAAAAAGCCCCGAGAAGTGAAGATACTCTGCTCCTGCTGAGAAATAAGTGGTGGAGCTGAGCTCCTGGGAGCTCCTCCTCACTTTGAGCGCTGACCGTCACAGTTCTTTTACCTGCCAACCCCTTTGGAAGAACTGTATTGATGTCCCAAGAACACAAACACTTGTTAAGCCAGTGCACATTCTCACAGAGATACTAACCAAGTATCTAAGTGAGCGAAGCAGAGAAATCACAGGTTGCTGTACTCTGAATATGAAAGTGAAAATGAACAGTGAAGTGACTTGCAGGGTTGCTGAATTCATCCCGCACGAGTGTGATCACCCATAAAGAGTTAGATCTTGGGAGGGAGAACTTCAGAGCCAGTCCTTCGAAGCGAAACTGCCACTGTTTGAAAGCATGGCTCAGGGAGCTGTGTGGGAGCTATGTCTCCTCAGCAGAGGAGGCAGTAGAATCCAAACTGCAACTCAGAGGATCTGGTCTCAAAGTGAAGTTTTCCCCAAGACTAAGATAAAGAAAATTAATTTCTTCATTGACTGGATATCCCAGGGAACAACTTTGGGATGCAGAACATTTCTCTAGTGCAAATGCTACGTACTCGCTCAGGGAGCAAAGCCCAAAAGGCAGCTCATCTGAAGAGGTATCAGAGGGGTAAGCTACCCAATTAAGGGCAAAGCAGCAAGCCTTTACAAAGAGGTCCCTGTTAAGCCTGTCTTTTGGGCACAGGGATTTTCAAAAGTACTACAACACATTCCAGTAACACATTCTGGAAATCAGAATACACCAGTAACTTTGATTTGGACTCTCAAGCATAAATGTAGCCACTTACTCTATTTACTAACAAAGAAACAAAAGAAACGTCATCTTCAAAACCAGTGAGCTTCCTTGAAAAGATTTTAAACAAAACGATACTGCCAACACTCTATTAACAAAGTAATCTGACTGCTGAAGAGAAGACAATGAACTTTCAAGGTAGCTTCCTCTTTTGTGTAGGTTATGCCTATTTATCCTTGTTATCAGCAAAAGCTCCCTTGCTGGCACATTGGTAGTACACAAAAGCTGACCAAATGCATAACATATTTACAGAAAGGAAATTCCAAGCTTTACCTGAAAATATTCCTGGAATGTAAGCTCTAAAATACAGCCTAACCTAATCAGGGATCATAAATGTCTCCAGCTATTTTTATCAAATTCTGAACTAGAAAATGTTAAATAATACAAATAGTGCTGGTACAAAGAGTTTGCAAGGAAGGTAGTGTTTGAAATATGTTTAAATGAAACTTTCACTTTTGAAAGCACGAAAAATATATCAGACCCAATAAAAAGGATTTAAGTCTATGTAACAACAAGGGTGGACAATGGAAAACCTATGGATGTCATCTATCTGGATTTTTGTAAAGCCTTTGACACGGTCCCCCACAACATCCTTCTCTCTAAATTGGAGAGCCATGGATTTGATGGGTGGACCGTTCGGTGGATAAGGAATTGGTTGGATGGTCGCAGCCAAAGGGTAGTGGTCAACGGCTCAATGTCCAGATGGAGACCAGTGACGAGTGGAGTCCCTCAGGGGTCCGTACTGGGACCGGTGCTGTTCAATATATTCATCAATGACATGGACAGCAACATCGAGTGTACCCTCAGCAAGTTTGCAGATGACACCAAGCTGAGTGGTACGGTCGAGACACCAGAAGGACGGGATGCCATCCAGAGGGACCTGGACAAGCTGGAGAGGTGGGCCTGTGTGAACCTCATGAGGTTCAACAAGGCCAAGTACAAGGTCCTACACCTGGGTCGGGGTAATCCCCGGTATCAGTACAGGCTGGGGGATCGAAAGGATCGAGAGCAGCTCTGCTGAGAGGGACTTGGGGGTACTGATAGACGAAAGGCTGGACATGAGCCGGCAACGTACGCTGGCAGTGCGTTCAGCTCTGGAGCCCTCAGCACAAGAAGGACGTGGAACTGTTGGAGCGGGTCCAAAGGAGGGCTACAAAAATGATCAGAGGGCTGGAGCTCCTCTCCTATGAGGACAGGCTGAGAGAGTTGGGCTTGTTCAGCCTGGAGAAGAGAAGGCTGCGGGGAGACCTGATTGCAGCATTTCAGTACTTAAAGGGAGCCTATAGGAAAGATAGGGACAATCTTTTTAGTAGAGACAGCAGTGACAGGATGAGGGGTAATGGTTTTAAACTAAAACAGGGTAGGTTTAGGCTTGATATAAGGAAGAAATTCTTTACAATGAGGATTGTGAAACACTGGAAAGGGTTGCCCAGAGAGGTAGTGGAGGCCCCATCCCTGGAAACATTCAAGGCCAGGGTGGACAGGGCTCTGAGCAACCTGATCTAGTTAGTGGTGTCCCTGCTCGCTGCGGGGGGGTTGGACTAGATGACCTCTAGGGGTCCCTTCCAACCCAAAACTTTGTATGATTCTATGATCTATGATTCTACGACCAAGTTGCTGTGCATTGCAGCTGCTGATGCAAATCCACTGGCTGCAGTCAAGTTCCCCTCAGACAAAGAAAAATTAGTTGTAAGAGTACTTGTTTTCCTGGTAGCATATTTTGTTTTTCTAATCGATCAATCGAAAGATGAAATGGCAGTTTCTGAAATATGTGAAATGTGTATATAAAATACAAGGAATGGTTTATTCAACCCTACACAGATCTTTACAAATCTTATATTAAGTTACGCAGATAAAACAGGTATATGAAATCCTGGACCAGATAAAAACTCTACCCAAAATATCTCACAGTAAAGTAGCTGTTTCTTTGAGAAAAAGTAAGGTCCAGGGTAAAGGATTCAAAACTTCTTGGTGCTTATTTTGATGGAGTTGTTCGAGCATTTCTGAAGAAAATTGTGCATCCATTTGCAGATAACACATTTAAAAAGTGTTTAGGGGTTTTACTAACATTTGGAATGATAATAGCCTCACTCTACTCTTATCACAGTTGTATCCAAACAGAATTGTACTTTTTCCCTTTCAGAAAGAAAGAAAATATAATGAATATCGTTATTACAGTGCAAACCTATTCTGTAGGATAAGCTGTGCGACTTTCATTGCATGAGATCTTCGTTTTGTACATAAATTGTGCCTAGCAAACTCTTTTTAGAATCCAGAGATCAAAATCCAAAATGAAAATATCTGTACTTAACAATAAAACAATGTATTTTTCTCACGTCTTTTACACAGTAGCTCAGCTTAATAGGGTTTCAGCATTCTCCATGTGCAGTCTATTTAGAAGGTATTACATGAGATAAGTATTTACAGTGAGATCTTTAGAGAATTATTGTGTAAAGACATAGAACTGGTGTGCTGCTGGAAATGGATATATTATCCAGTATGGGGCATGTGATCAGCTGGTGATTAAAAAACAAAACTTTATATGCACTGCATTCTTCCATAGAAAAGGGGAATATGCTATTGTTTGGCTAATAATACCATATGAAAAGGTTAATCATTGTCTGACATTTGCACTATTGAATGAAAACATACTTGTGCTGAGGCTGTGAATTTACTTGATTAGAAACTCTGTTTCCTGCTGGGATCTTCTCCAACACCAAGACATCTTGGTCATGTTCTTTGAGTCTTACCGTATTTGCTTCCACATCCTGCAAGACAAGTTACTTTTAATAAAGTAATTGCACCCAATTTGGCTGATTAGCTACTCTGAAAAAGTGCATGGCTTTCAAACACAAAAGACACTGGGGTTGGTTCTTTTCCCCTGTATTTATCTATATTTATTCTTCTTTTCCCACAGGCAGAATCAAGAGGGAAGCACTGGCACTGGGGGAAGAGGCAGAGTACAGTTGCAAGGACTAGAGCAAGAACAACGTCAAAAATCTCTGGCTACGATAAAGGAAAAAAATTGCCAAAAAACAGAGTGTCATGTCTCCCCACTTCTATATGAACATTATTATCTATAATCTGACTTTACTCTTTTTTAAAAAAGAAAATGGCACCTAAAAATGGTAAGTCTTAGCTCCGTAAACTGTCAGTAAACTTTTTGTTTTCTACTGCCAGATCATAGTAGAAAAAGTAAAAAATAAATAAATATAATGTGCACTCAAACAACACAGATGAAAATCAGTAAGACCACGGACTTTGATTTTCTTTGAAGTATCGACCAAAGCTCAGTCAGTTGGGAGTCTTCATGGCCAACCCAACCTTACCTTCAATGGGATCCTCATTCTCTTTTGTACAGTAAACACAATCTTATGTCATTTTTCTAGCACAGTACTCTGTCTGGACTGGTTTTACTGCTGCAGTACTGGGCATGTATAAATTCCAATACAGGATGACACTGGTTTTGACTTCCTATACTATGAATGATCACAAACCAGCCTGTATTTACAGAATTGCAACTGAACTTTGGAACGTATTTGCCGTAACATGAATAACTGTAAAATTAGTCTGGAAATATCTTTCTACAGCTCTTTGATAAAGACGTCTGTGTATTTACCTACCTGTAGCTTATTTAATTTTCCATTTGATTCTGCCTTGAATCTATTGAGTTTAAGGTACCTGACACTGATCTATCTGGGAGAACAGCTGACCTTGTTTTATTCAACATTTGGGTGGAAGATTGCCCAGAAATCCTGGACAGCATAAGGAAAAACTGAGCACTTGGCAAATTCTAGACCACAGAAATGTGAGAGACAAAAGATTCCATTTGGTCCCATATTGACAGCTGAGCTAGGACCAGAAAAAGAGGAAAGATGATTAATGTATTCTCTACTTGATCTTTTAGGCTGTCACATCTCTGTTCTGCAATTAGGGATGCTTCAAATAAAGCTATTAATATCAATATATCCATAGAAATACAGCAGACTCTACAAAAATTGCAAGTTCTGATAACACACTGTCAGGGCAGCCCTTCCCGCTCTTACCCTAAGGATCCTGTTGAAGTCCTCTTTGTCTACTCTCAAGAAGTGGCAGTTGTCTTCACGCAGAACAATGGATGCTGCTCGGGGAGCATCATTCACAAGCGCTAACTTGCCAAAATCATCTCCTTCATGTAGAGTACACACCACACCCTGCACGGAGCAAAACATTTACATGCAGAAACCCATCATTACTCTGGATTCTATTGAAAGCCCTTGTGCAAACACCGGACTTCACAATCAAATACTAAAACAAATCTATTTGGCAGGAAATCAACAGCCAAAATAATAACTAGGAAACAATACTTGATAGCTGGTTATTACTATTACTAAAGAAAAGCAAGAATAGAAAAGAATTGTCTTCTCTGAAATTACATTCAGCTTGAAGACTCTTCTAGCCCTGCTGAAGACAGAAAGTTGTTGAGTTGTTTGTTTTTTATTTAGAGAGGCCCTAAAAAATCTACACCACATCCTCAGCTGCTGTAAATCAGCAGTCCTCCGTTTACTCCAATTGATAGTAACAGAGGATCTGGACCAACCAGTGATGTAAGAAATGTAGCTAAATATGGGTTACTTAGGAACAGACTCAGCACCAGGGCCTCTACGCTAGATTTTGGTGAAATGCTTGTCTTCCATTGTTTCCACTGTTCAGAATGGAGGATTCTCAGTCACTGAATGAGAAACCAATAGGGAAGGAGCGATTTTTAAAGACTGGAGGGATTGCTGTGTACCAAAGTCCTTTTTTTTCCTTGAAAAATCTCATAAACAGGAAATCTAATAGAGATGCTTTTCAGTCTAGAGCTTGACTAAAATAAAGAGCTGGCATAAATTTGGGAGGGGGTCATCCAACCTGAGAACCACTAGTCACAAAGCAGTACTTCTGTCAGACAAGCCTGACATGCGTGAGAAAAGTTAGTCATACAAATGCAAGGAATAGGGTGGTAAAGGGACAGGGCAAAATCCCCCATTAGGCAGAAGTCTGGCAATTCACCAAATTCCAGCAAACTACTTTGTGCTGAAGATACTGATGTAACTCTCCTGAATTACAGTCAGAAAGTATGTAATATATCCCGAAATTATACAGCAATCAACTGGAAGTATAGTGAAACCACTGGATCATTTCTTAATAAAATTACATTTGTTTCCTCAGACAAAGCAATTTTGCTCTAAATTAAACTATATTCCTTCAAAGTTTACTCTTACAATTTCAATAATAAGAATCATATAAAAAGGCTTCTGAAAAAAAATACCTTGCCATAAATGACTACGTTTACTGATCCCTTTAGGATAATGTACCAAGAAGTACCTTCTTCTCCCTGATTAAATACTACAAGAGAGAGAAAAAATTTTATGGTGAGAATATAGTTATTCAAGATATAAATGGGCCAGATTCTGCTCTCAATAAAATTCAAGGTAACTCTACTGCAGTCATTTTAATGTCTACCTTGAAAAAGGGCTTACTATGATATTAAAAGCAATTGCCTTCAGATTTCAGAAAAAAACCCCACAGCCATACAGCAGTTATTTTATTACATGGATGTGAAAGTTGCTTTTATTTTCCATTACAACTGTGACAAGTACGTTATTGATACATGTCAGTTATCAATTACTAATCCGCACACAGATCTGGATCCCACCAGTAGTACCATGTTCTAACCCAGTTCTCTAGTGGCTGTGAATTTTACATTCATTTGCTAAAACTTCTTAGTATAAAAAGGTCTGAGTAATCTAACATTTTAAATCCCTATTTTGTGCAAGATTTTTTTTAATACAAGGATAATATTGAAATACATTTTAAACAGAGATTGGTCCAACAAAAAATTCTAGATAAAACCACACCCAAATTGTAGGCAATACATACATCTAACCAAGGATATGGAATTAATTTTGGTACTGTCCCTACAACTGGCAACAGACTAAGCCAACACCTATTACCCCAGGTTTTAAACACTGAGTGCCAGTCAAGTTTGAAGGGTGCAATGAAGTTTTGCTCTTGTCATTTAAACATTAAAATTTTAAATATTCATACCACAGATGAGAAAGAAGATCTGACAGGACTCCATTTACTTACAGACCGTTCCTGCTTTGGGATGTGACTCAAAAATGAGGACACCTGCTAATTCTCGCTTCACCTTAAAATAAAGAGAGAGAAATTATAGTTTTCGTATGTACCTTATTGTTCCTAGTGAGAGGAAGTCACGTAATATACCGTAGCTGCAGCTTCCCTTCCCTCCGCATCATTCAGCCACACAGCCAGACAATGGTCTGCTTCGCTTGATGACCTGTTTCCTACTGACTGGCTTCACAGAACACGAGCCTCTACATTTCCTGGCTTCAAATGGCTCAGACAAAGGCATCTTTAAGATACAGCTCTCCACATCTTTCTACATATGCACACATGTGAAACCATCATTAATAATTAAAATTAACATGACAGAAAATTTCAAATGGTAATAGCTAATCTATTACAGAAGATAGCTAGCAACTGCCAGTTACTCCATGGGGTTCCGTAGTACTTCTGTTCTTCCCTGAGAAATCAGTACCTTTCCCCTGGCAAGCCTGGCCACTTCTGCCATGTTGAGCTGTGAGGCACAGCCATCTGGACCTGCCGAGGCCCCTCGCCACCTGGCAGCTTCGCAGGCAAAACGTCCAGCTCACTGCCTCTTCCAGGAACTGGGGGATGTGACACTGCCCTTGGCGTCAGCCGGCTCCTATCGAGGTTTTTATTGCTCCGGTGCAATTAGCTCTTATGACTGACTGGGCAGCTGCATCTATTGAGACACTGTTTACAACCACTTTTTCCCACTGTAAACACTGTTAGTGTTACGTTCACAAAATAGCACTGGGAACCTCGTATTATCCTGAGTTTTCCTGTGTGCTTTACGTCTCTCTTCATACAACCGCAAGTCTCCCAGGCCAATTTCCAAGCAGTGAGATTCTTGTTTTCAGAGAACATCACCTGGTGACAATCCATGTTTCAGAGGTACTACCATGTAACTTAACCACGCCAAATACAGATCAAAAGCTGGTTCCAACATATGTTCACTAGTAGTATTTTCACACCACTCTCCCAACTGTTTAAATCGAAAAAATTTTTAGGCCATGAAGAAAAACTTGGGGAGGAACTCTCAAATTCTGAACACAACCCAGATGAGATGCTGGTGGCTGCACCACCTAAGATGGGCGGACTAATTCAGGCTCTGATGTCCTAAAGGCACCCACCAAACCTTTGCTCTGGCACCAAGCATAAACGTACCACACCAGCCACCTCTCCCAGAACTCTTTCGGACAGCCAGTGCAAAGCACTCCCTGTTTGCGGTCTGGAGAAGAAAAGGGGTAAACAGAAGTGTTTGGACAGGGGTTTTTTAGTACACTGACCAGTGAACGCACCCACAGGCCTGTGATTTCTATACCAATTAGCTCACCAAACAGTTTTATAACCTCTTCTTGAAGGCAATGATGCTTTCACAGGGACAGGAAATACAACCCCATTAGCACTGTCCTGCACATTGTAGAGAGCCTTCCTATCCATGTACGTCCTCAAATGTCTTCTCAGCTGTTTCAGTCATTTGCCTCTGCAGTGAATGAATCCTCTGATGAAGCCAAGAACTGTATTTATTGTTAACATCATTATATAATTGTTTTTCATTCATACATTAACTTCACAGGCTTCTCTAGCAGGGATTAGTTCACCACCATGAGACTTGAGTTTTATCCATTTTACTTCCTGCTGCTCGTGGCATATCTAGAAAACTTGTTACTTTAGGAATCATGCCTTGCTTAAAATGAATAAAGATTTCATTTGCTTTCAAGTTGATTGACCATTAATCTTCTGGTTCACAGGAGCAATGCCGTCTGTTGCTCCTCTGAATAATTCCTCTAAGTTAGTCATGGTTTCTGTCCTCTGCTACAGTTCAAGCTGCACATAATAGCCTGGCATTTCCAAATTCTTACTAAAAACATGGAATCAACTGCAATTCTTCAAAATGCCAAGTATTTCTTGCATTTTGTATCATTTGCCATACTTGTTCTATATGCTACTTGCTGTGGATACTGACCTCAAGTTTGAATTTCTTCTGAGCTGGAAATATTTTGTGTTTTGGATATTTTTTTTGTTCTGGGTTATGTGTGTAGTATCAAGAGTGTTCTCTGCTCCCTCTCAGTATCTGTCTATCTTGGGTAGTTTCTTTTGTCTGATTTAAAAGGGTCATTTCTGGATCTTACAGAAGTCCTTCTTTAAATACTTTTTTCCTACATCCCAGAGATGCTTAAGGATTTTGGCTGGCTGTTCCTTCTTAGTTGACTCTGAATGCATACTCTTTTTGAAAAATATTGCTCAGGTGTTTGCACAGAGTATTATCTTTCTGTAATGCAGCTTCATAACTAGCTGCATCTGTCCAAGTTAGCTGACAATTATGGAAAATATCAAGAGCTTCCAAAGAAGATATTATCAAACATAAATCTGCTTTCTGACTGGCTTCCTTTTTCTGAAAGCACCCACATCTTGCTGCTACCACGCAAAGTGCTGTTGAGCTTGTTTCAGTTGCCTACACAGTGTGCCAATGATGGTGAGACTTTTAAAGAGTTGCATTCTCTTCTCCAGGCATTTTCTCCATTTCATTTATTGTTGGTTCTCTACACTGTTCTTGCCCTCTCAGAGGGAAGGTGTCTGATGACACTTCCTTCACTCTAGGATCAAACTCCAAAAAGCCTACACTGCACAGTACACCTTTCCGCACTGTGTAATTCCTCCTCCTCTTTCTGCACTGTGGAATTCCTGTTCCTAACTCATTCAACCAACATCTGCATAATATCTGGGTGATCCTCACAGCTGGGAATAACTTCTTTGCACGGAAAGTATAAATGGAAAAGTTTGTAGGTGCTCCAATTCTAAAAGCACCAGAAGCCAAATTTCAACCTGCCTTTTGGTGATGAGTTAATTTTTTTTATAATACTTACTGTGGTAGAAAGATGAGATAAGGCCTTAATGTGAAGAAGTTCTTCATATATGATTTCTAAGTCATCTACAGTTCTCTGGCCAGGTCTATAGAAAGAAGACAAAAAGGACCGCAAAATGCAATAAATGCCCCAAATAATTGCTTCAGAGAAGTGCAAAACAATACAAAATGCTGTTGTACCGTCTCCTGAAGAGTACATCCTCCCTAAACAGGGACTGAACGATGGTTGTGGCTGGAGGACTGAAACACACAAAGGGTGGAAGCGCTACGAAACCACCTGAATAACATCGAGCAGCAGCCATGGCAACCACCTTAGCAAGATCCTGATTAGGCAGCTTTCCTGATGAAATCGAGTGTTCTATATGTAAAATGGTCAGGTAAATCATAAATGATACATAAAGATCTGTTCCTTTCAGAAGGACTCCCAGGTTCAGGGCCTGCACTATTTTTCACATGTGGCACTAATTAGCTGTAGCAAACAGACAGTAGCAGTGGTTTGTAAAGGAGTGTGTGAATTTCTGCTGAACTGGAAGAGGCAGCAGTGCATCTTGGAGGACAGTAAATGACTGCTGCAGAGTTAATGCTGAGTGCTGTGATTTAGCCAGAAAGGTAAATAAGAACAACTCAGTAGTTTCAGCTTCTCTCACTGAAAAATACAAGAAGCTGCCATTAATAAAAAGCAAGCATTGATGAAGGAATGATCCTCCTATAGCACAACGAGGAATGAGGCTGCCACTGTGACTAAAATAATTGCACTTCTGTACTCTACACTTTTGAAAATTTTCTGATCGCTAAAAAAGGACACAAATACTTTGAGGACTGCAGTGTGTCAGAGATGCTTTGGAGGATCTAATAAATAGTTCCCACGAGAAAGAGTTGTAGGAGCTTGTGAGTAACTCCTAATCTTTTTCCCACTCACAGGATTCTCTTCAGTTAAAGTGTCTAATACAACTTGATTTTCTAAGAGGACAAATTCTCCTGTGATCTAATTTCATACAGCGCATTGCAGTTATATACACAGCCACAGAAAGAATCCTTTAAAGCATTATCCTGAGTTACTTTTGTAGGACTGAGTCCTTCCAAACAATTTTAGATTTCTGAAAAGCAGAATGTAAGTAATTAAATCAATGGGACAAGAACAGAAGAAAAGAGCAACCTAGTCATAAGCAGGGAGAGAGGACACATTTAAGATATGAGGAAATGGGATACAGGAAGTCCAGTCCAGGGGCAGGAGTTCAAAGGAGAAGGTTTACGTGCTCACGTTAAGAACAGGCTAGTGTGCAGTTCCAAACCCCACTGTCTGCAATGAGTGGTGTCAAAAGAACTAACAGCACAGCTCAATCTTTGGACAATCCGAAAAGAAATGTCACAATGAGCCTTTCCGATCAAAGTTTTCCTCTTAAAATGTCAGTACTACAGGAGATTCTAGCATCTAGAGGATCAGGAAAGTCATATAAAGAAATATAGTGCTCTACAGGTTTTCTGCCTAATCACCTCTTGGTTCAACAGCCTACCTAAATCATATGTGAGGTAGAGGGAGTACCCAGAAACCGTGTCACTCTGGAGTTACATTGCATCTTTTTGCAAACGAAGTTTGCTGGAGACTTCTTTCATATGAAGCAAGTACTGAAGAAGCCATAGAAAACATAAGGACAACTGATATCTTCTCTGCTAAGCAAGCTATATTCTTCATCTGTTCTTCACTTACCAATGACATGCATTTATTATACCCAAATTAAAGACCAATTTAGACAAAAATGTTCTGGATGAAATTATTCTTTTCTCATACAGAATGGAATAATCTGTTAAGGGAAGAACAGAAACTGGTTTGGTACTGCTATGCCCTCTAGTGACTCAAAATACTCTTTCTGAATCTGTCTTGAAATTATGAGGCGGCCACTCCTAGTGATTTATGCGGGGCAGTAGCAGCATAATTGAGCACAGAATAAAGCTAAGCCAGTACTAGCTATCTTTCACTGGAGACTTAAGAAACACAAGGTAAAGATTTTAACAAACAGTACTTCCAATGGGAAGTAACAACTTTATTACATGCTTGCAAAACCAGCATGTCTTGGAAAACAGAAAATACGGAGTAACAAATTAAAAAATTTCTACATGAAATTAAAATATGAAAGAATGATGTCTTACTACATCAGATCTCTATCAAGACAAAAGGCAACACTCTTCTTTCAGCACATCCATTTGCCTCCTGTGTTAGCACATTGGGAGGACTCACAATCTATAGAGGACGTACCCAGTCTTTACTTCTGCTCCTGCAGATGTCACGTGGAGAGATATTAGGCATCACTGCCTCTGTAAAACCTGTGTGGTGACCCACTGATGTTGATTTGTAGGATCCTGCTGTGTAAAGACCTAGTTTCTGCAGGGGACACATTCTAACAGCAATAGCTGGTTATAGAAAGGATAATAAATGGAATAGGCAGAGAATGAGGCTACACATTAATGGACAGGAGAACTCAGGTGATATTAAGTGATCAATAAAAACTGTTCAGTGTTTGGAGAATTTATCAAGGTCAGAGATATTAAGCTTCTCTGTGACTAGGACGTTGACAATAACATAGTATTTTGCTGTTGATAAACCATGTACATATAAGCAATACCATTGATTATTTTTATTACACAGCTAACCAGAAATTTCTCAGAAAATAAGAACAAGGGAAAAGATCAGAGACCCCATAACATTGTAATTATACGTCAAATAAGCATATATTTTGAGAGTACAAATTTTGCCTTCAAATACCATAAAGAATATATAGAAGACATGAATAATTTTACCCATTACCTGTGTCTGAGTGTGAAAGTGAATGCATGTTCACTTACTTTAGCATGGACTCTAATTACGCAATCTTTCTACTTGAATCACTGCTCCTCAATTAACTCCATAAATACCATTTACCACCTATAATACCCGTAAAGATCAGTGAACTGATATGTGGAAAGATAATCTGTATTTCCTGTTCCAGGAATAACACTTGGTTTATTAAATATCATTGGCGGGGAACTCCAGCAAGGAGTATGGAACTTAATACAGTCTTCACAGAGAAATCCAGTACGGTTCTTACTACTAACAGCTGGGCGGAATATCTAAATTAAAAATTTTAAGAACAAGAGAACAAATATATCTTGCTTAACTTATAAAAGACCTTCAAGAAGCTACAGATTCTTAGCAATAATAAAATAGTTTTATTACATATATACAAACACGTTTACCATGTTTAGATTTGTTCTCACTTCCTGTCCCTAAGCATTCTGTCAATCTTACTTCTGCAAGTGACACTAAAATTTGATTACTGATCACGTGGAATCAAACACTCTTTGTACTCAGAAAAATATTTGCTGAGTGAAGTCACCAAGAATATATAACACAGATTTATTGTTTCAGCCATACTGCTAACTTACTGTAGCCTAGAGTATTAAAAAAGAATATGGTCCATAAGATCCTCTGAGTTAAATACTGTTCTCTGATTAATATAATTCTCCCTTTAAAGACTCCTGCTGTTATTGTGTTTAGCTTTGTATTATAGCATCCTGTTTAATTAGGGTTTACCATCAAGTTAGCTATATCTGAACACCATTAAAATCAAATAAAAATAACTAGAAAAATGTTTTCAGGACGTGTTTGCATACTGAAGGACTGAAACACTTGTAAGAAAGAGCTGTATTCATCCTACAATATTTTTTCAGGGTCTTGGTCAAGGTCTGCACCTGTGCTCCAGGCATTATAAGGAGCAGAGAGCCGTGTTTGCTACTTCACAAAAAGCTATTTTCACATTCACAGTGTATGTGTTTCCAAAGAAAAAAACCCCACCCAATAGCAACAAGAGTCTGCCAAAAATTTCCCTGAGCTCTATTCTGTTTTTTAAACTATAGAACATTCTTTCACAGTTTGACAGTTAAAATGCTGCAGTTAATGTAATAAACAGAGAATTTTTTAAGTCGGCTGTCAAAACAAGTGACACTTTTTGCTAGAGATTTTCAGATTTCGAACAATAGAAAGTACCTTTCAAAGCAACAGCTTCATTATACAATCAAATTCTCAAAGTAATCTTCTCATCAAAGAATATTGTCTTATTTCTTTCAGGGTAATTATCTGAGTTCTGCAACCTCTCCGGAAATGGTGATTACTACAAAATGCAGCTGTGTTGGTCTGAAAATCGTGGGTCCTGCTCAGGTCAGCTAGAGCCACTGTCTCTGAAGCCTTGACAATTCCTTGAACTTTTGGCAGCTGTAATGGTGTCTAGTCAAAGCTAGCAGGACTCTGAGGATTCACGGAGATTTTAACAGCTTTGATACAGCTCAGCCCAGGGTGGATTTTCAACTAACAGAATCATAATGCATGTAAACTGAATACTAGAACAGTAGTTAGTATGGTGCCTGACAGTACAGGCTTGCTTCCATGAGCAAATGGCAGCAAAAATAAGAACCTTCAGGGATAGGGATAGGGAACGATGTCAGATTGCTGTCAATCTTGAGAAAACCTCTTTCCCCTTACTATGTATGAAATGAAAAATGTCCTATGAATATTCTTTCAGGTGATGCTGTGCAAGTGATGACACAGAAGGGAGAGCAGTACTTTCCACAGCATCGTTCCAGCCTTTCAGCTCTCTGCAAGGAGTGTGGAGGATAATCAACACTGATCCTGCCAGGGTAAACTGACACTGGCTGCTCTGAAAGTCATGATAGAAAGCAAGTGAAGCAGGCAGCCAAAAAAGCCCACGCCAGCCTAAGGGGTGCAGTTCTCTAAGAGTGAACCTGCTCAGTCAGCCTGAGGCAAAGGAGGTGGTGCAGAGGCACAGGGTCACATCACACGTAGCACACTGCTCATGGTCTTCTAATGCCTGGCATCTGCTCATGGGTGCAAAAAGCCCTCCTTCGCTCCGCAGTGGAGAACGCACAGGACATCTCTGTGAGGAGAAAACACCTCACTTCACTGACACCATAAGGGTTTATGGAAGCACCATGCTCCCAGTCTGGTTTATCTATGTACTTTGTGTAACAGGGAGTCAGTGTTCCTTCGGCTGTGTTTGACTAGTCCTCTAATTAACAGAGGAAAGAGAATTTATACTTTTAAAATTACTGCTGCATGGCAGTGTTAACTACTTCTATAAGCACAAGTATCTGATGGCACTTTTTGAAAATCAATGCTTTTAGCAAGTGTTTGGAAAAGTGTCGTCTAAATGAGCTTACAATCTAAACAGACAACATAGGGACAAGAATGGGGCGGGGAAGGGATACAGATGGAAACAGAACAGGAGCAAGCACTTGTGTTAAGTGGATTCAAAATATTTTTTTGCACAAAAAATGTTCTCCCACTGAAGGCAAGGTCCAATCCTATTCCATAGCAAAGAAGACTTTGCCAATGGCCTCAAAGCAGCAGGATCCAGCTTCGTGTACTTCTCTTTCTTGAACTGACCCTTACAATCAAATCTTCAGTGAAGATGACCTTAAGTAATTCATTATTCTCAGGGCACTTAATTAGCAGTAAAATATGTCTTCAGTGGCCTCTAAACACTACCTGCATAATGAAGAGGTTGCCTTCAATGGAGGGTCAAACAGAGTTTATACTGGTTGCTTTGAAGTCACTATAAAGCTGCCTGTAAAAAAGGCCTTTAGCACAGTTTTCAGTGTGACCAGAATGTATTGCTGAAAGGATGGTTAGCCAACCGATGAGTGAGAGGATCTGATCTGATAGCTCTGAAAAGGTTAGGCAGACATCCTCTGTGGCCTAGGTACAGAAAGCTTTTTTTTTTAAAAAAAAAGTATTGATTTTATAACAATAAGAATGGATAAATAAACCCACAGAGCCACATTTCACACCTTGCTAGCAAACTACAACAGGCCAAGTCCAGCCTATCTTAATTCAACAAAGTTCTGCCAAGGATGAATCTAATTAATGGCTGCCACTGACAACTGCAACTGAAAGGTACCTGCTGTGCTGCCATCCTACCACTCTACTTGCTCACAATAACTGAAAGCAGCATAATTAATAGAATGGTATGTCTACACAGAAAATGTTAACTGAGCAGGACTCTTCTATTACCTGCAAATTACTTTTGGGGACACTCAGAAATGAAATAAAAACTGATCATGCCGCATTTTCTTCAAGGGGAGTATAACGGCATTCATGGCCTTTGATTGCTGTTCTCAACACACAGTTCAATTTCTAAGGATTAATAACAACTGGAAATGATTTATTATGGAATTAAAAACTTTAGAGGTTGAACAAACTGGCACTGAAATGAAATAACTGGCCAAAGGATGCCTGACAATAAATGTAGACTTCTCTTGTTTCCATGTCACAAGGAAGACCCATCTTAACTCATTAATCTGCTTACGGTTTTCTGAGAATCATCCTCATATGAGCATCTGGCCCAATCTGAGACAGAAGAAGCATAGTGTCCTGCAGCTCCTCATCACACTCCTTTTTCTCTTCCTCAGTTGGCAAAGAGGCATCTTCACGCTCATCATCCAAAAATCGATAAAATAAGTATTTGTCTTGAAAGTGGTGTTCCTGATCCACTGAAAACAACATAACATATCAAACACTAGGCACTCCTCATTAAAGTTAACCTTGCAGAAATCTGTGTAGCATCGTGTATGTCACAGATATATTAGTTAAGAAGGGAAAGCGAGCTACAGAGAAACTGCAAGAGTATAAAACACCCTTATTTCTCATATATGTCCAAAGTATGTAGCTTGGGGCGTACACTTTTACATTGTGTACCACAAATACTTTCCAAAAGGCTTTTATGTATTTGTGTTGTGGGTGTGTATACATATATGTGTGTGTGTGCATGTGTGTGCGGTTTTCTTATTAGATCTGGTTGTGTTCTTACCGTTTCAAACCATTTCTATTAAGCAATTCACATTGCTGAATAGAAGCATTCACACAACAATTCACACTGGGGAAACGGTTACATCATGAATTTCTAAGAGGTGTTCTCTAGCATGAACACCTTGCCCTGCACATTTCAGACAGGGCTAAAAGGTAACAAAAGCATCTAAACTCTTTGATGTACCAGAAATGTACATCATCAAGATATAATCCCAGGGGCATGTTCATTGACCTGTGTCCTGGTGGAAGAACTTTGTGGAACGACCAGCAACAGAAGTCTTCTAAACAGAGACTATGATATGGTGAAGGACAAATCCTTGGTCTTCCAAGCAAGTCAGAGTGATGCGTTGAGTTGGATACTGTGATGCAGCTTGCAACAGCTTGCCACTGGGAGTTCAAGGGAGTATTTGGCAGGAACTAAAGCTAAAGCCCTTAGGGTAAGGAAGCGGTGGAAACAGTCTTCTCAGTGTGGAAATTTCTCCCTGGGATATGGGAAGCACAACAGGGGATAAATGGAAGTGTACTATAACAGAGCTGTTCTTCTGAACTTAGTGAAACTGTACATGCGAAGCTTCAAATGTGAATATTGCTTTACCAAGCTACCTGTTTGAGGGCTGCAATATCATGTTACCAAGTAAATCCTGCCAAATGGAAACTGAAAATCAATGTAAAATACAGTCAGAAAACTAACAGAAAATCCCAGACCTCTGCATTGGAATATTTGGAGTGCTGAATTTGGAAACCATTCCAAAACAACTGAAAATCATTCCAAAATTATGGATCTGAGCAAACACAAATGCTTACATTCACTTCCACATGCTGCAAATCTTTGATGAAGATCAGTTTTGTGTATGGTAATACATCTTTTGGTTTGGGCCTGAGTGCTATACAGGTCTTGCAATATAATCACAAGCCAGTGTACTCTTAAGTATAATTAGAATTAGCATTATAAATTGCTCGTTTACTTTTCAATATTCTTGTAAGTTAAAAAGGTATATTGGTAGCCAGATTCATATTATACTGTCTGTGTGTTGCACTTGCACCTATGAATGAAAAGGTTGCTCTGCAGCATTTCTTTTGGGCTTATGATCCCTTTCTGTTTCACACAAGAGACCTACAAAGGCACGAAAGTTACACATTGCCCAAGTTTTAGTCAAGATGCTGATTTTCTTTATCTTACCATGGTTAAGAACACCTTCTTCCAGCAATACTTGCCACATGCCAACAGCCTGGGTTCGTGAATGGACACAAGGACTTTGCTGCATCATCCAGTCAACTAGTTCTGTCCCCACACAGCATTGCCTGAAGGACAAATAAATAGATAGAAATGAAAAGGGAGCTAGCCAAGAACAGTGATATCTTAAACTCCGTATAATTTTAGTCAAATCTCCCATCTATGTGTATATGCTTGAAATACCAGTGAAGGTGTTTAGTTTTAAGAGGATCAGCTCATCAGAACAAAAAGCGTTTTGGGAGATGCAAATTTCAGAGGATCAGAGCAAGCCTGTGCCATCTGGTACAAAACCTATTGCACCAATGCAACAACCTCCAACCCAAATTTCAAAGGAAACCTTCTCTGTATACCATGTGATAGCAAAACCTTCACACTTTTCAGAACCCTACATGAAAATGATCACCTAACACTGTAAAAGTTTTGCCAATGACAACAGCCTCCACAGGAAGAGAAAGTGTTATGAGGGTGTTCCTCCATTCATAACCAAACTCTGGCCACACTGTATTTGGGGACATTGGTTTGCAGATCTAGTGCTTCTGAGGCACACTCATGCTAGGTGCTGGTCACCTCGCAGCTCCTGGCTGACCCAGAGGCAGACAATAGCCAGCCTCAAGTTCTGGAGAATGCCTATGGAGAGGGAAAAAAACCAAAAAGCCACATGATCACTAAGTAAAATGCTTTGTCATAACACTCCCTAGCTCAGCAGAACAGAAGCAAATAAGCAATGTGATCAAAAACTTACAAATCTATAACTGATCACATGTAGAACAGAGGAAGCTGGCTAGTCCTTCTAGATACGCTCTCGTGGCTCCACACTTCTTGTATCACTTTCAGAAACTGCTGAAATTTAGCTTAAATAATTATCTTCTAATTAAAATTCGATTTTGATGACAAAACTTTCCCTTGCCTAGATGCAATCTAAATTTTTGCATTCCATATTTAAAAAACCCAAAAACAGTTTTTTACAGTTATGTATAATTTTAAATGGTGCAGTTGTTTGGACTAGCATTCGTCTTCATTTATCATATACACTTTTGTTCTTCTAGAACAATCAGCAATGTCATATTGTGATATATTCTCAGATCAACTCACAAGCTCCACATACCTTGCATCATGTTAAATACATTTTGGACTGAAATATGGAAAATCAACGCACTTAACTCAAAAGCAGATAAGGAACATATTGATTTACTATTTAGAAAAAGACACACTCAGAGATTTTAAACCAATTTTAATTTAAATATACTCTGAATAATGCATTAGATATTTGATTTAAACATTAGACATGAAAACAAACTGATTCTTTCTTAAGCCAGCAGTAGATAGATCCTGACTCCTTGAAGTCAGATTCCTATTCTGCAAGCGCCATTGTTATCCCACTTCAGCAAGACAGTGCTGCCACCAGCAGGAAGATAAGAAAGCCTGGCAATACACTGACAAAAATAATTTTAAACAGAACAGTGAATCTACATAAGGAATGTTTCTCACCAGGTGAATTTTCAAAACTCCACACTTAGCAATACCGCTGTAGCAATCAGTACAGAAACATACTACATTAATGAGCTTTCCTATTATCTCTTACTGATACACAAAGAGAACAGAATCTACATTTTAACTTGATATTGCATAGAATATTCCAGCTAACTACGCTATTAACTTTGGAAGAGTTTTTGTATGTGAATGCTCTGTTCACAATCATGGACTCAATTTCCAGTGAAATTACTTCAGAAAAGATTTACCAGGCCCATTAAAGACTGCATAACATCCAGACTCAAATAGCACCACAGAGTAATTTCAGACCTTTTGAGACCTGCAAATATGGTAAGGCATAAATCACAGATCAGAGGATGGCAGGCATAAAAATTCAGAGACCTCTATACAAGCAGCTCACACACCTGTAAGTCTTCAGATGGTATTTACGATCTCTTATCATGTGAGGGGCTCGGGACAGAATTGTATTCCGCAAAATCTTTCCAGCTCTGAGGATCTTTTCTGAAGGAACCTTGGTGATCATGGAGAAAAAAAAGGGACCAAGACACACAGATTTTAAACTTTCCACAATCTTTGTACTGCCTTTTGCAAAACAAAACACAAGTTCTCTTTTCCCTAAATTAAAAGTCCTTGCATAGATGCTTACTTTTGCAGAGCAATGTAGTATATATTCGGGATTTGAAGTCTCACATACTTATCATATCTAACAGAAAGCATCCCTTCAGCTGATACGCATCACACTGTTGGAAATAATAGGAGTTAATTCCATTTGTCTAGCGGCCTGGCTCTACAGCACACCTGTGCCCTATTACCTGTGTAATGGTTTTAGTAGGACAATGTGGGATGTGAGGTTCAGTAAGAGGTGTCTGAAAAATAAAATGAATACATTTTTAAAGGTTAAGCAGTAAAATAAAATAAAGGCTAAAATAAAAAACTGAACAAAGAAGTTGTAAAACCAGAGTGAGGTGTAATTCCAAGCTCTACTCAGGGGACATGAGTAGAAAAATCTCTCTGAAGACATCCTGAAGACAAACTTGGTTTTTAATGCTCAGTAAATTAAAACAGTGATGTGACATGTGAAGATGAGCAAACAAATGCACGTTAAACTTTCTAACGAAGTGTGCAATGGCCATACTTCACACCAGATCTGACGCTATGCAGGTATAGCTAGTCCTTCCGCTTGGTGCTCTCAACCTGCAGCGGGCACGACTGCATTCCTCCGCACACGGCTGCCTCCGCCACTCTGTCGCCCACCATGGAAACTCTCTCCTCCTCCAGCACCTTTTTCTGTTCAGCTCTCCTCTCCCTTACAGCATAGCACAAGACACAGCTCTGCTGCCACTATCTGTCTTTTCTAAAGTATCATCGGGCCTAGCTGGCAACCCTTTTACAGCCGCTCTCTGAAATGCCAGACCACACAGGCTGCTCGCAGAGACCTGAGTGAGGCCTTTCACAAAGGGGCTGGTGAAGGAAAAAGAAAAGAGTAAAGTAGGTGACTTGGTTCTGCAAAGGGAAGCGCGGAAGGGAAGGCTACCAGGGCTCCGCAAGCGAGAAGCAGAGAAGGGGATGAGAGAAATGGGAAAGCAGGCCCGTAACGAACAGGTGAATGGAGGGGGGAGACGGAAGCACAGGCACGACACAGAGGAAAAAGAAAAGCAGAGGGTTAAAGGACAGTATAGAGGTGGAGACAAAGGAGAACAAAACCAAACTTCAGCAGCCACCTCAGAATGATGGGAAGACGTTTGCTTTCTTGGGACTGGTAGGTAACAGCATGGGCCAAATTTACTTCCCGTGTGAAATGTCAGGAGACGCGACACGAGGGCAGAGTGTGGCTGGCATTGTGGGCCTGACGACAGGGCAGATCACAGCGAACGCAGAGCCCTCCCACAGGGGCCAGACCTTGCACCTCGGCCCACGGCAGCCACGGCTCCCTCGCGCCCGCATGGCAGAGGCGGGGGAGGCAAACCCCCCGGGGGGGGGGAGAGTATCGGTTTTCTTAAGCTGGGCATCTGTACATTAGCTCCCACAGGATTTTAATGATGTGACAAAGTCCTTGTAGTACTCAAATAGTGCTAGGAGCTACGAATGCACCAGGAGACCACAGGTCAGTCAGGAAAGGGAAAATGAGGGAAGGACATGGCAGAAATCAATAAAGATAATCTTAATGGAGAGGCTGTATATGAAAAGCAATGTGAATGGTTTTTAATTTCTACTCCTACCTTACAACAAGCCTCTGAAAAGGCAAATCAATACAACTAAATTGGGATTCCCGATTTTTCTCATTAAAAGTCAACAATTTTTCAAAGACTCATTTAAGTTATAAACATTTCTGTCCTACCAAAAAGGTGGTAGAACATCCCTCAGTATTTCTTGGTTTCTGGAACTGTGTGGAGCATGCTTTAGACAGCCTATATTTGCAGTTAAAGCATGCTAAGAATAGCAAGAATCTTTTGAAAGATGTCTCTAATGCAAACAAAACCACTGAATAAGTTTCAAACAGGTATAAATAAACAATGAAGTCAGAGATATCACTCTGAGTATTTATTAATAATTTTTGCTTCCATTTTCTTTTAAAAGGATTTCAAGTCCTCATCAAGTTCAATGAGACTGGAGGTAAATATATATTTAAATGGTTGGCTAAACTGGCATTGGAGTCATTATGAAAATTATTTTTAAATTCCACATTCTGGAAATTATTTTTTTAAAATCAATAAAGCACAATATACTCAATCTAGCTTCCAGATTTTAATTCTGTTTAGGAATATACTTCAAAGGAGAGATAAAATGCATAAGATGAAAAATGTAAGAGACGTTTACAGCAATAGACTAGTGAAAATGAATGCACATTTTTGTTCTTTAGAGGTTCTATTAAGCTACAACAAAAATGCATAAAACTAATAGGTGAATAAATTGAATATGGATGAAGATTTGTCAATAAATCTCCCATCCTAATCAAAACAGAATAAAAGAGAGCATTTAGAAGTAAACTGATTCAACCCCAAAGTACAGAAAAAAAACAAGGTGAAAGCTAAGGCACAGCACAAAAACCTGCAGAAAAGCAGCAGGAAGGCTTGTTCACCTACATTTGATCCTGACCAATACAGAAGGATCAGCTGTGAAGACAGAAGGTAACTTGGGTGAAGGTGATCATGAAATGATCCAGTGTCAGAAATTTACAGAAGGAAGAGGAACATCAAAGTAGAAACAATGGATGAGAAAGAAAACATAAAAACAGAATACTGACAGCTAAATTCCTGGAGCAGGTCATGGGGCAGCAAGTGTAAGATAGAAGGAGTTAAAGAGAGCTGGTAGTTCGTTAAAGAAACAATACTAACCACACATACAATATATACTAGCACAGAGCTAGAAGGTGCAGTAAAGACTCAGCTAAAGAAAGAGCTCTTCACTGAAATACAAGAAGGAAATGTACAGAAAGGAGAAAGTGGGGGGTTTACAAAAGGTAAGTATAAAAAATAAATTGAATAATGAAGGACAGAATTAGAAAAACAAAGGTATAAAATGAGACAGATCTACCAAGAAATGTCAAGAGCTACAAGAAATATTCCATAAGTACATTAGTAGTAAAACAAAGAAAAAGTATTGATCTACTGTTCAACAGAGGGAAATCTATTGGCAGATAATTCAAGAAGGCCAGAAGCAATTGATTTATTTTTTGTATCAGGGTTCATCCGAAAGATCAGTGGCAGAGATGGCTAATATCCTAAGTAGCAGAGTGAAAGGATTAAAATCTCTGTCTGAAAAAACAAAAGAAGGGATGAGAAAATTTTACGTAAATTAGCTATTTTCAGATTGGCTGCGTTTCTAGAATTTCATGCAGGAACCTTAAGAGCTTGAAGCAACTTAAAGAGAGGTGCACCCATCTCAGAGCTATCAGCAGCCACCTCTGACAACTCCTGGGGACTAAGGAAGGCAGCAGAAGGCAGAAAACTGGGAAAAGGGGGAGCTGAAAAATTATAGACATGTCAGTGTAGCTTGTCTTCCTAGAAGTAGTCCATTTGTAAGCACCTGGAAAAGAACAGGAAGATGAGTCACATGACGCATATTAATCAAGAACAAATCATGCCACACTGATATAATTTCTTTCCATGACCGGGTAGCAACACTAAAAGACAGGGAAGAAGCAGTAGATTTTCAAGCCTTTACTTTATTAAGACTTTGGCACTGTCTCGTAAGCTATTCTTTTCTGCAAATGGCAGATTAAATTCTTACAAAATAGGTGCAAAGCCAGCTGGAGAAGTGTATTTTGAAAGCAATTACCAGTGAAGCAAAGTCAAACTGGCAGTCACACCAGAAGTCTGTTCTAACCAACATTCTCAAGAATATATCACATCCGATAATATTAAATATTAACACGGGATGAAGTAGAATGTACACTGATTGATTCTGCAGGAGACTTCAGGATGGAAGGGGCTGCACATACATTGGAGAATAAGTTCACAATTTTATATAGCTTTGACATTGGTCTGAAAAAAATATGATGCTGTTACGCAACACAGACAGTGCTAACTACTTTTCTGAAGCAGGCAGAATCAGCTATATAGAGACAGGGTAGGGAACAAGTGTCTTAGCATACTTCCACAGAAAAAGAAATAAGGTTTACAACGGATATTAAACAGAACTGAGTAAGCAATGCCATACTTGTGTGAAAGCAACAAATACTGCACTGGGATGTAGTAGCAGATTAGATACATAATGAAGTTCTGCTTCAGTCAGCCTAGATAAGACCTAAGCTAAAGCACTGTATCTCATTTGCCCATTTTACTTCAAAAGCATCTAAACCAACTGGACAGAATTTAGAAGAGAGCAATAAGAATAATCAGAAAGCACAACATAAATAAGCAAAGTTGTTCAGCCAAGGAAAAGGCAAGTCTTAGCAGAAGTGTGATAAAAAAGTCTTCAGATTTAAAAGGCCTCTGAAAGGAAGAGAGAACTGACCTAGTCCATCATGCAGAGATCAGGAAATAAAGACTTCCAATTGCTGTAAGAAAGATTCAGGTTAGGCATCGGTGAAGCTTTTCTAGCAGAGAATACTGGCAAAGATCGCCTGGGAGGTGTGGTTCCTCCATCTCCGGAGGCTTGGGAGGATCCCTAAGGTATCTGTCAGGAGTGACACAGCCATAGCGCATTGCACATGTGGCTCAGGGATGGACTAGATGCTTTCCCGAAGTATCTTTTAGCCTCACTGTGTGGGACTGGGCAATTTTCGAGGACACCTTTACATGCCTAAAATTAGTTCAGCCCCAAGGTGGTGCTTAAAGAGATGATCAATGATACAGCCCCCAGAGCAGTAAGCGCGGACCCAAGAGAGAGCAAGGCAGTCACTCCTACTGAGGAACAACGCCGCTGCCATCCAGAAGACATGCCCAGCAAAGAGTCCCCGCAGAGTTACACCCTTTCCAAGCTACCTACTGCAGTGAAATCTGGCTGCACTAGAGATGAGCTGAAATGCAACAAACCGAACCACAGGGCTTGGATCGAGTTTGCTATAGAAAGGTAAATCATGCTTCAAAGGCAGAGAAACGTAACATCAATTAGTTAATAGGAGATACGGTATTCCTGCAACAACTTCCCATCACAGAAAATTAGATTCTGTAAGGAAGCACACCTTAGGATAATAGACACAACTTGGCTGAAGTCCAAGAAGTGTTTTGTAAGACTTTACAATCTTGGATCTCCTATTAAGGGATACGTACAAAGCACTTACGAAAAAAGAAGTAGCTCTCCCTATAAAACAGCAGAGAGTGAGCAGGGTGTTTAATTACCTTCTTAACGCATTCTGATATCTTTGAAGAATTAATGTGACTAAAGTACATACATGTTGCACAGAGCTGTATGGCTGCAGCTA